TCATTTCTAATACTGACACTGAATCCTGACAGACCCTGATGGGCACTGACTGAGGTAAAAAAAAAAGGCAGGAAGCAGAATCTGAGGTACAGAGGGAAACAATTGGTTGCTCTAAGTCAACAGTGTCGAACTGTGGCCCTCCAGATGTTCTTGGCCTTCAACTCCCAGAAATCCTGGCCAGCAGAGGTGGTGGTGAAGGCTTCTGGGAGTTGAAGTCCAAGAACATCTGGAGGGCCACAGTTCGATACCACTGCTCTAAGTGATTAACATTCACCCAAAGTCCCTCCCATCAAAATCTCTTAAAGACACATTATGCTGGCTGCTATTCCAACATTTTCCAACTTTTATACCTTTCTCTTGTCATTCCAAATGGTAAGAGAAATATTATTATGTTCTAGTTTTTGTATTTTTTGCTTATATTTTCAAGGTGCAATATCAGAACTGGACATTTGAAGAGCATTTCTGTGTATTTTTCTTGCATGCAGATTATAATGGCGAGCAGTGCAACAGATTGTTTTCACGTGTGGAGTCAAACTGGCTCTGCAAAATCAGGATGAGCTGTGCAGCAAATTCCTTCCCTAGTGTAATGTTCCAAGCTCTGAGAAAAGGTTATAATAATACATCAGCCAGTCTTTCTTGTTTTATAGCTCTGGCTATTACATCTTAATTGTAAGCAATAGACACACATGGAGCTCCTATCTTTGCTACAAACAGCTGAAAGCCAACATGATGGAATGAGATCTTCCATAAAACATCAAACAAAATAGTTAATCAGCTGTATTAAACCTTTTTCTCTGTCTGTAGGATCTATCTCTTTGCAGCATCTTGAGTGCCTGGTACCGAAGAGGTGTGCTTAGTGGTCTGAAACTTGTGGTTTCATGTGTATATGTGTGTAACTTTGTTTAACCCTGCACTCCTACCAAAATTATGCCTTGACATTTGATAAAGGATGGTCAGTGCTTTGAAGAAAGCATGCACAGTGGTTGGTATTGCAGCAGAAAACTGCAGATACAGATTCATTTACACAAATTGAATCATAATGCTACAGATGTGTGAGTGCATATAATTAAGCACTGCCAATCTTTCTGGCTCTCAGCAATTCATTATGGAAATTACATCTCCAGGGCATGTAAACAAAAACATTTGTTCTGTATTCTAGTAGCATGATTTGTATTGATTATAAAGTATTTGCCTTTAAATGTTTTCATTGGTGGGCCAGAGCATGCGATGTCTATCCTGGTCTCACCTGGCAGTGTATGTTTTAAAATGTAGTCACTAAAGGGAAGTATTAATTATGCTCGGTGTAGTAAATTATTTCATTGGCTACTTAAATGACACATTAAGTTGTATAATAAGACAGGAGGCTTGAAAGTAATTTACCATTAGTGGTTAAGAAGAGCCATGATATCTCCTCTTAATCAAAATTGCCTAGAACTGCTGGATAGCTTAATGGTTTAAGTATGTGGCTACAGAACCAGAGTTTGGGAATTCGATTCTCCACTATGCATCCCTGGTGGGCTGGACTTGATGATCCATAGGGTCCCTTTCATTTCTGCAGTTTTTA